TTTTTTTTAATATTTATTTATTTATTATGTATACAATATTCTGTTCACATGTAGGCCTGAAGGCCAGAAGAGGGCACCAGACCTCATTACAGATGGTTGTGAGCCACCATGTGGTTGCTGGGAATTGAACTCAGGACCTTTGGAAGAGCAGGCAGTGCTCTTAACCTCTGAGCCATCTCTCCAGCCCCCTATCTCTAAGTTCTTATTGGCTAACTCTTACATCTTAGTTTAACCCATATCTATTAATCTGTATATCACCATGTGGCTTACTGGGGAAAATTCCCACCATCTGTCTCTGGCAGGTCCATGGCATCTCTCCAACTCCACCCTTCTTTCTCCCAGCATTCAGTTCCGTCTTCTCTGCCTACCTGAGCTCTGCCCTATCACCAGGCCCAAAGCAGTTTCTTTATTAACCAATGAAAGCAACACAACGACAGAAGGACCTCCTACGCCACCCTGGAGTGTAGTCAATCAAGCAAGGGCGACATCTTTTAAGAACAATCATACATAATTTACTATGTATTTTGCATGTGCTATGCCTTAGCAGATGCTGTCTGAGAACTGCATGATTTGGCATTATCATCCTACAAACAGACAACACACCTACACAAATAAAAAATGACTTCAGCACTAAGCAACATAATCAAATAGTAGATAGACCATCTTTGACTAAAATACCACTATAGGACACATGGCTAGACCAGAAAACAGGGCATTGTTGAAGGTGGCCGAAGATGTGGTACAGTGTATTAGGGGCCCAAGAAAAACAGATCAGATGATGCCTGAAGAGGATTGAAAAACATGGATAGGACAGGAGGCTTATATGTATGATTGTTCATAATACAACCACTTCTAATTCTGAGCACTTGTGGTTCATTACTTCCTATTGCAATTTCTGCCTTTGTTGTATTCATGTCCAAGACATGAACAGAAGGCTTTCCTTTGAAAGCTTAGCTTCCTGGTCACCCTCAGTAGAGTAAGTTTTCCCTTGTATTTCTGTTAGACTTTGTCAATTACTGCTTCCAGGTTCCTTGTTTTTCTCTTTCCTTCTCCTGGTACACTCTGAGCCTTCCTCGGGCTTCTTGACTGTCAGTAAAAACCTTATCAAAAGAGCCAGGGCCTAGGTTCATATCACAGTCTCATTACTTTCTGTTTCATTTGCCAGTTTTTCTGAGGCATTTTCCTTATTTGAGAAATGAGGGGAGGAAAAAAAAGTCTAACTCAGGCAGTCCATTCTTCAGAAGATTCGCTGAAATCAGAGTTAGAGGCAGTATAGCAAGTGCTCTGAGAATCTTCCTCCCCTATCTGAGTACAATACACGCCTCTGTATCCAGCCAAGCAAGTATTTGAAGCAGTGTACCCAGGTGCACTGGGAGTGGAAAAGCTTCATCAGCCCTGGCAGAGTGACAAGAGGAAGCACAAAGGCTTTCCACACAGGGTAAGACTCCTGCTGCTCCAAAATGCAATTACTTTGATACTCAGTTGCCTAGCAATTGTCTAAAATCAAATAAGATCCTAATCTCAGTTGCCTTCAAAAAGTTTGATACACTTTACTCCTAATAAGTTAGAATAAAGTTAGTGTCCTTCCAGAAACAATGATAATGTTTAGAAGGACAGTTGGGGGGAATTCCTAACTTAGAAGCATTCAGAGCTTGTTGTGTGGTTATAGAAGCAGAAACACTCTAGGATATAGAAAGACTCTAGTAAAGGACACCTACAAAGAATGATGTGGGTGAATTAATACCTGTGTCGATGTGACCTTTAGTGGTTGTGGAGTTACAGCCTGTGAGGTCTTAGCATGATTTAAATTTAGCTCTGATTGTGGTTGGCATTCAACAAATAGTTTATAACTGATTCCACTTTGGGGCTGATTTTGTTGCCTATATGATATCTGATAGTTGCTGCTGACATTGCCTGTTGGGATTGGGAGGGAGAATGCCATTGGTATCTACTGGGTCAAGTTCAAGGATGGAATTAAACATCAGTCCATGCATAAGCCAACATTCAACAACTGAGGATTATCCCTCCAGAATGTCAGTAGTCCTGAACTGGAGATTCCAAACTAAGGAGAGGTATAAGAATTCACCTCTTTCCAACTAATTTATGGACAGTACCATTTTAAAACTCTTCGCAGCAGAGAGAAGGTCATGGCAGGAAGTTATGCTCATAGAAAGCAAATTCAATCCAGATTATCCCAAAATAGCTACAAGAAGACAAATGTGCTGAACAAACCAGATAGAATTGTTTACTGCCACCCACCCCAAAGTTTAGCATACTGTATCATCTTTGACTCCAAATGGAACATGTCATGACTGAGGCAAGAGGGGACAGAGTGTTTGCATGAGGTGGGTTAACCTATCTCCAGTGAGGAGGAAAGGAAGGCAGATGTGGTTACAGATTTTTAAGAAAATTATCAAGCATAGGTTCAAACTTGTCCCTCTAAATGGAGTTGACAGTGGGAAGGCTGGGGCAGACTGAGGAGCCACTGACAGTGGCACCAGGATTTATCCCTACAGCTTGTACTGGCTTTTGGGGAACCTGTTCTCTTTAGATGGATACCTTGCTCAGCCTAGATATAGTAGGGAGGGCCTTGGACCTTCCCCCAAAGCAATGTGTCTAATGGTCTCTGAGGAGCGAGTGGGAGTGGGATGGGGGGACAAGTGAAGGGAATGGGAGGTGGGGAGGGAGTAGAAACTTGGATTGGTGTGTATAATGAAAACAGATACTTTATTTTCTTAAAAAAAGAAAAAAGAAGAGAAAACGGTAAAATTATCTGCCTTGATGTTTGACTTTAACTGAATACATCTCTGAATATTGAATACATCTCTGGAAAAATTGTAGCATCAATGAGGCAACCAAGCCAGACTGAATGGAAAGATTCAAGTGTGACTTGGTGACACTGAGTTAGAGCCTTGGAAAGAGTGTGCTCCTCAAACTTCTGTGCAAGGGGCCAGTTCTGGCATTCTCACTGATGTGTTTTACCTCTTAGTGAGAAAAGTACAGAACCCTTATAAGTGATTAAGTTAAACGAGAATTTTAGTTGCAAAAAGAAAAAGAAACTTTAACAATTTTATTTCCAATTTTTTTCTTTTTTAAATTGATTTTTATTTAGTTCTACATTTTTCTCTGCTCCCTTTTCTTCAGTTATTGTGGATATATGATTCTGTGGGTGTACTTCAGACAAAATCTGCTCACTTCTGTATCCCACAATGAAGAAAAAGAGGAAGAAAAAAAAGAAAATTGACACTGGTACATTAAGGAAGATAAGCACCTGCTGTGAGATCCACCCTTGTGATGTCTGGAGCGTTAAACTAGGATCGCTTTTGGCCCATTCTTGTGTTTGTTTGTTTGTTTGCACATCAAATATTGTGTAACTTTAAGGTAATTCAAGGATCCATCTATGACAGCTAGGCAATCTACATAAGAATTGTTTTCTTCTGTTAGGAGAATATCTACTTTAAAACTGGTTGTAGTTTTCCTTAACCACTTGAGTTGACCCAAGGAATCTTGAGCTGTCCAAGTCTTGCTGAGTCCCATGTCTTCCCATCTCTGTCTTCCAGGGTCTTTGGGGCTGCAATACTGCTCACCTCGACCCTCAATATGCTGATCCCGTCGGCAGCCAGAGTGCATTATGGATGTGTCATCTTTGTTAGGATATTGCAAGGGCTTGTGGAGGTAGGAACTACAGGGTGGCATTATTTCATTTTTGTCTCTGTGGATAAAGAGATGCTAACTGAAATGCATAATGTCAAAATAAAAAGTAAGGCGTGGGAATGTAAGGGGATCAATCTATTTGGGGTTCATGCCCAAGGCTCCATGTATGCATGCTGAACAGGCAAGTCCCCCCCCCACCAATGAACCATATTCCTAGGACTTGGAAGCATTTTTTGAAAAATTAATTTTTAAATTATTTTTTGATTATGTGTAGGTGTGCATGTCTGCATGTGAGCATGTACATATGAGGGCAGGTACCAGAGGAGGCAGAGACTGTTGTGGATGGAAGCTTGGGTTCAACTTAACTGCCAAGTCATCCCTCCAATCTCCTTGAGAATTATATCCTGTGTCCATTTTCCTTTAATACACTGATGTGTTTGTTTAGCATATTCTTAGTCATGTAACTATACAATTGGTTCTTGATGAGGTATCCTGAAGACTTTGAAGGAATGTCTTTAAAAAAAAAACCCAAGTTTGACCTATAAACTGCCCCTTCCCTACATGGAATGTGATAGAAGTAAATAATTATAGAAACATCAAGAGGATCATTCTTTCTCCCAAAATGGAAAAATAAAATATAATAGAATCAAAATTATAGAAAGGGCCAGTTATTGTTAATGTCAGTTTCTAGATAGCTAAACTCTGATTTAGGGTCCTTGTATTGGGGACTACTCAATGTAGTGCCTCACAAAAGGTGTCCAAATTTCACAAGATGTTTAGAATTGCAGGCAAACTGATTGGGGGAGAGTCTTATCTCCCACTTTAATGATAAGAGAATTAGGGTGAGAGAAAAGCCTAAGAGATGAGGGCATCTGAAGAGGCTGTGTGCAGTCATGGTCTGGGCAAAAATGTCTCAGATGGAATTTCATGGGTTCAGTAGGAGCCTGTTGGCACCATCTGATTAGAATCAGGCTCTGGGGAGGGGATGTATAATTTCCAAGTGCCCCTGCATCCTGAGTGGACATATTTGTTTTCCCACCACAGGGTGTCACCTATCCAGCCTGTCATGGGATATGGAGCAAGTGGGCCCCTCCTTTGGAAAGGAGTAGGTTGGCTACCACCTCCTTTTGTGGTGAGCATCGCATACTTGTGGTGGGTTAACAGTTAGGGAATGGATAATGAGTCAAAGTTTGATAAAGTATTTGTGTTTTGACAACTATTTTAATTCTGTAACTCTCACTAGCATCTTTAAACCAGCTTTTCATTGTGCTTTGTATTATTTTAGAAGTTGGACCATTTTCAAATACATGAATTGGTAGTTTAATTCCTGTTTATTTACTTCTTACTTTTGAGATAGCTATGTAGAACTGACTGGCCTGAAACTCCCTGTGTAGACCAGGCTGGCTTTGAACTCACAGAGATATGCCTACCTCTGCCTCCCGAGTGCTGAGATGGAAGGCCTGGCCATCTTAAAAGATTTTTTTTTTATGAGTACCAGATAGTTAGGCAAGAAAATTTTCATTTCTAAACCAAGAAACAATAAAAGCTCACTTTAAAATTCAAAGCTACTATAAATAACCCACCCATAATAAACTATCAGCAATGTTATTACCTGTAAATGCTGAATTTGTACACATTAAGACATGGACTTTAAAATATTCTAGCTTTTGTCTCTATCTGAGATACTATTTTCACAATCATTTTTGATAAGTTTTGAAATAAAAGTAGAAAACACTATGCAAAGATAAAACTGCACGGTTATGTACAAGACAATACATGCCTTTCTAAAAAGATTTATTAATTTTTTTCTGATGTCGGAATATTTGTCTGCATGTATGCAAGTGCACCTAGTGTCTAGTGCCCTCAGAGGCCAGAAAAGAATACCACATCCCCTAATACTGGAGGTATGGATGGTGGTCTGTCACTGTGTGGGTTCTGGGAACAGAGCACAGGCCCTCTGCAAGAGCAATGAGTGCTTTTAATCACCTCTCCATTCCACACCCGGCTACAGCTCTTTAAATTTGCTATGCCCTAGCTACCTAGGTGTTATCTGAGGTATGGTCTTGTGGTTTTGTGTAAGGATGCATAAGGTGAATACGTATTTGCAGGGGTAGAGTGCATGTGTGTGTGCATTCATGGATGACGTTGTTGTATGTGTTTGTGTGAGCCAATCCTGGCACATGCAAGGAGAAAACTTGTATTGCTCTCCCTTACTTTCCTTCTCTTCCCCTCTAGGTTCCTATGCTGGAGCAGTCATTGCAATGCCCTTAGCTGGCATCCTTGTGCAGTACACGGGATGGTCTTCGGTATTTTATGTGTATGGTATGTTACATGTGTTTACAATAGAGTTATGTGTAGGCTAACATGAACTTGATTGTTTACAATGCACAATTTATTTATTTTCTCATCTTAAATACTCTTTATTTCCTGAAGAGAGAAAAAGAAAGCTTTTACATGTGACTTTCCCGCCATTGCTGTCTCTTGTGTTAAAGAGCAATCATGTTGTTAACTAAGAGTCTGATATGATATTAAGTAATGTGCTTCTGAATGTGAGGGGAAAAAAGAGGCTCCTGCTCAGAAACTGCTGAGGGTTAAGGTGTAGTGTGTTTCATTTGTATTTTAATAAATAAAGCTTGCCTGAAGATCAGGGAGTAAAACAACCACACTGGTCAGCTTTACACACCAGGCAGTGGGGACACACACCTTTAATTCCAATAGCCACACTAGTTGCCATAGAAACCGGGTGGCGCATGCTTTTAGTCCCAGTGGTGCATGCCTTTAATCCCAGCCCTAAAGGGGAAGATAAGACAGGAGGAGACAGCTCACACTCTCAGTCTCATTCTAAGATTGCTGGAGGCAGATTCGTCATTTTTTGGACTGCGGTAAGAACCAATGGCTTCTTTGCTTTTCTTACCTGTGAGTTGAACCCCAACTTCTGTCTCTGAGTTTTATTAACCGTGCTACTATTGTTTTTTGGCCACTTTCTTGATTCTGCCTCCTCAGGGTAAATGGGTGTGTGCGGCAGGAAGATGGAGGTCCTGCTAATTCATCAATCAGTTTTGATAGAGTGTCAATAATAACCATTCACGGAAAAAGAAATTAAATCCATTGAGTTCCCACACTGAAATTAAGATATCCTACTGAAGATGTACTAGTAAGAAGCTGAAGGCTTTCCAGATTGCCCTGGAGGTTCTCGTTCCAAGGTGTCTAATACCGTCTTTGGGTATGGGCACAAGGATCTGAAAGACTAAACCACATGGTGCTGTAGAGCGGTGTCTGGCTGCCTCTGAGTTTGGCCACAGCCACTTGTTCTTATGTTGAAATAGTCTCAAAATGGCAAATGCATCTTCTTAGAGAATGGCGACAAACAGTGATTTATCATGAGGGGTCGGCCTTTGGGTAATGAAGATGTGGGTAATTGATAGATTTTTGGATCTGTGAATGTTCTGTAGTGTAAACCATTTATGTGTTTGCCTCTCTCTCTCTCTCTCTCTCTCTCTCTCTCTCTCTCTCTCTCTCTCTCTCTCTCTCTCTCGTGTGTATGTGTGCACGCACATGTGTGTGTACGTGTATCATATGTATGCCATGGCGTGTGTATGGAGGACAAAAGACTATTGTTGGAGCCAGTTCTCTCCTTCCACCACGTGAATTCTGGGACTGGAACTCAGCTGTGTTAGAAAAGTTGTCGTCATCTGCTGGGCCATCTCTCTGGGCCCCTAGAGAGAACTTTTCCATTAGGTTTTCACAAGGGTCTGTGACTCAACACAGTGTGTACTTCGTATGGCTACTTGCTACCCTGATTTGGCTTAGTTTATGACTTACTTGAAGATACTTTGGGACTCTAAAGTCACAGACACATCTCAAATGTTAGTTGTTTCTTAATGTTGACAGGAAGTTTTCTAAAGAGAGAAAGAAAGGGCATGGGCTTGAGTGAGTGGAAAGGTGGGGAAGATATGGGAGGAGTCGGGTGAGTGGAAACTATGATCAGAAAATGGAAGGAATATATTGCAAAAAAACAAATGTGAATTCAAGAATGCCATTGTGTCTCCTTAAATCTCATTTAATATTTACCATTGATTATGAATCAAATGATAAACATTAGATATTTGAAAAATCATACAAAGCATGCTAGCTTGCTGTCTGTGACAGAAACTGGATCTTGAATAAAACATTCTGTTTTTGTTTTAAATATTAATGTGGTAAACCTTGGACAGTAGAGTAAATGGAAGAAGTTAAGAGCTACACAAACCCCAAGTGGCTCAGGACACAGGACATGAATCTGTTTCTGGTCCATGGTAGTGATGAAGAGAGTGACACCCAGGATGTGTTTGATAAGTTCAACTAGTGAGCATGACGCGCAGTTTCAGGCATGCTAGACAGACCCATCAGAAGAACTCAATGCATGAGCGTCAAGGTATGGAATGCTCAGCTAGTAGGTGCTCAGTGTGTGATGCCCACGGCCCTTTGAGGTGGAAACAGCATCTCCTTTTTTGTGTGAGTGCCAAAACTGGGCCTTGTAGTACACCCTGAAATCCCAGCACTTAGGACACTGGGGCAAGAGGATTCTGACTTAGAGGTCAGGCTACAGCATAAAGCAGCATAACCCTGATTCACAAAACTCAAACCTTTTTCATTTTGTAGTGGATGTCTGGAGTGGTCTGTTCTTCAAGGATTTATGCAATCAACGAATGACACAGTTGAGATTTTAGACTAGGAAAATCCTGCCGTAGCAACTGCATCTATTAGAGATTCCCACAACATCTGGCCTCAAATCACATTTGTTTCCATGTTCAGTGATTAAAGGGAAGAGAGCACACCAGCAGCTACGGACAGCATTAAGGAAGACGCCTTAGGGACTAAGCAGAGAAGCAAGAAGTATTAGTGAGCTCAGGGGCCTTCAGATTGGCACCCAAGGGACAAGGCAGAGAGGCTGAAAGAAAAATGTGTGGCCAGTAGTGGGAAAGCAGGATAAATCACTTGGAATTCCTCCTCCTGTTAGTGCTTACAGATTTGTAGTGTACAGCAAGAATACACATTCATGGTGAGGGTGGTAAATTAAGAAGAGAATTGGAAGGGAGAGAAAACAGTTTGTGGCCCAGGAATGTAACCTACCAGCCCAAGAATTAAAAAGTCAACGAAGTCTGAACTAGGATACCCAGTGTAGGGGCACATCATGTGAAGGGCTTCTCTATTAGTCGTGGAGTTCTCTAATCATCTAATGTGGTTATTTAGGCTGGCAAACTCTTCTGTGTTTTACTGAGTAAATAAGAAAAATATTCACCTCTCACTCTATGGGATCCTCCAGAAACGAATAACTTGGTCTTCTTCCTTATTCTTCCACTGTCTGGCACTGTGTCTAGCCTGGGACAGCTCGGGAACAGAGTATGGGATGTGTGACTAAGCTCCCAACTTCTATCATGTAGTAGCTGCTTGTGAGTATTTTGGATATCAGTCATACCTAACTAGACACAAAGATACGAACCTTGATGCTAGCCTCTGAGAAACCTGATGTCCAGAGACAGAGGACAGGAAGCAGTAGCTAAAGTCAGTGCCCACACCAAACCAAATGATCCTCATGGAGATTACTGTGTCTCTTCAACCTTTAACTGTTAACTCTATTTCTGAGACTTTGATCCCCTCCTTGTTAATCCTTTGTTTGTTTGTTTGCAGGAAGCTTTGGCATGGTCTGGTACATGTTCTGGCTTCTGGTGTCTTATGAGAGTCCTGCAAAGCATCCTACCATTACGGACGAAGAACGTAGGTACATAGAAGAGAGCATTGGAGAGAGCGCGAATCTGTTAGGCGCAATGGAAGTAAGCGTTTCATTATGGTGTCTATACGTAATTTTGCTGTTCATCCCACCTTCCTGGCTTAACTGCACTGCAGTTCCTTTTCAAGTAAAAGCCTGGCACCAATCTCTCTCTCTCTCTCTCTCTCTCTCTCTCTCTCTCTCTCTCTCTCTCTCCCACTCCCATCCCTTCTCCATGATCTTCCAGAATGATTGCTATCTTCTTCACTTTTTTTCAAAGAAAAGGAGATGGGTTAAGTGGTTCTCTACCTGTGGGCTGTTATCCCTCTACAAACCTTTATCTCTAAAAAATATTCACATTACAGTTCGTAATGATAACAAAATTACTGTTATGATGTAGCAATGAAAATAGTTCTATGGTTGTGGGTCACCAAAACATGGGACCTGTAATAAGGGTCACAGCATTATGAAGGTTGAAAACCAGTGGGTTAGAGGAAGAGCACAGTCTGAATTTCTGCTTCCTCTACCCCATTACCTTTTCTTCCTTTTGTTTAAATTGATTTTTATTGAGCTCTACATTTTTCTCTGCTCCACTCCCTGCATCTCCCCTCTCTGCTCCAACCCTCCCCCAAGGTCCCCATGCTCCCAATATACTCAGGAGATCTTGTCTTTTTCTACTTCCCATGTAAATCAGATCTCTGTATGTCTCTCTTAGTGTCTGCATTGTTGTCTAAGTTCTCTGGGATTGTGGTTTGTAGACTGGTTTTCTTTGCTTTATGTTATCTTTCTTCTTACTAGGTTTCACGTGTTCCTGTCACTTCCAAAAAAAAAATTAAAATAAGATCAAATGGAACTAGAGCTTTTTTCTTTTCAGAATACATTTTTTCACATTTTTATTATTTTTTAAAAGAAAACAAACTATCTTTTTTCATTTTACATACCAATCCCAGTTCCCACTCCTGCTCCTCCTTCCATCTCCTCCACCTATCCCCCACACTGCCCCCCATCCACTCCTCAGAGAGGGTGAGGCACATTGCTTTGGGTAAAGTCCAAGGCCCTCCCTACTATTTCTAGGCTAAGCAAGATGTCCCTCTAAAGAGAATAGGTTCCAAAAAAGCCAGTACAAGCAGTAGGGATAAATCCTGCAGTCACTGCTAGTGGTCCCTCAGTCTGCCCCAGTCATACAACTGTCATATACATTTGGAGGGACTAGTTTGGTCCTATGGTTTTTCCTTTCCTATCTAGCAGGAGTTGGTGAGTTCCCATTAGCTCAGGTAAACTGTTTCAGTGGGTGTACCGATCATGGTCTTGACCTCTTTGCTCATATTCTCACTCTTCCCACTCTTCAACTGGACTTTGGGAGCTCAGTCCAGTGCTCTGATGTGGGTCTCTGCTTCTGTTTCCACCAGTTTCTGGATGAAGGTTCTATGGTGATAGTTAAGATATTCATCAGTCTGACTTCAGGGCAAGGCCAGTTTGGGCTGCTGCTCCTTTATTGTTTGAGTTTTAGCTGGGGTCACCCTTGTGGATTCCTGGGAATTTCTCTAGTGCCAGGTTTCTTGCTAGTCACATAATGGCTCCCTCAATCAAAAATATCTCTTTCCTTGCTCTCATCTGTCCTTCCCCCATCTCAACTATCCAGTTCCCTCAAGTTCTCCTCACCCCTTCCCTCCTTCCTCATTTTTCCCTTCTGTCTTCCCTACTCCCCCAACCCTCACCTCCTGCTCCCAATTTTGTCAGGAGATCTTGTCTAGTTCCCCTTTCCAGGTGGATCGATGTGTGATTTGCTTAGGGTTCACCTTGATACTTAGCTTCTCTAGGATCGTGAACTATAGGCTCAATATCCTTTGCTTTACAGCTACTATCCACTTATGAATAACCTACCATGTTCATCTTTCTGGGTCTAGGTTACCTCACTCAGGATATTTTTTCCTAGTGGAGTTAGAACTTGTATTTCAAGTTTTTTTTGTTTTTAATGTTATTAGACCAAATTCTTCATATGAAAGTGCAGGTGGCACGGTCACAGTTGTTCTGTTTGAATATTGCTAACACAGCCAACAATGCTCTCTCAGCAGCTGTACTGTCCCAGAAATCTGTGACCAGAGAGTTCCCACAGAGAGCACTCAAAATGCCCCAGAGAGATAACTAAAAAGGGAAGAGACAATACCGAGAGTACCAGGGACAGCAGCCCAGGGTGCTTCTTAAAGGAGCCCAGAGCAATGCATGCTCAGGTGGACTGGAGAATGCTATGTATATTGGACCAGCAGCAAGGGAATAAGAAGCTAGGGAGTATAGGAAAGTTTAAGAAACATGTCTCAGGGATGTGGTCCATTTCTTTCAGAGTTTGGGAGCAATAGACTAGCCCAAGAATGTTCACAGCCTGCGTATGAATTATAGCCTGATGAAAAGGCATGCAGTATGGGCCACACATGAGGCCTATGTTTCTCAGGAAACATAGCTCCAGAGCTCCAGACAGGTCCATCCACAGTTGAAATCTTATCCTGTTTGTTTGTTTGCTTTTCTTTAGACAGTTTCAAACTTTTGTCCCACGAATGTGCCATATTCTCTTCCATAGAAATCTATCAGATTTAACACAACCAGCAGTGACTCACTGACACTGCCCAAACCAGGGTCTCAGGGTCACATTCAGATTTCCACCTAACCCCTGTAAGAATCACCCTGCCTGTGTAGTTAGTCTCTTATAATCACTTGTTCTGGGCGTGGATCCAATGAAAGATCACAGATTACAGTCAACTGGCTGTCTTAAATCTTTTACGTTGTTCTCTAAGGGATAATTTTAAAGGTGATATAGATACAGAACAATGTGAGGATCATATTTGGGCAAGTTGCTGTCATAACCACATTCACAAGGCAGCTGAACAAGCAGCACATTGTCAGAATGCCATACATCTGCCTGTAGTTCCTGGTAATTTTTAGGCAAAAAGTAAGAGAGTTGAGGGCTGGAGAGATGACTCAGTGGTTAAGAAAGAACAGTGACTGTCTGTTCTTCCAGAGGACTAGAATTCAATTCCCAGCACCCACAGGGCAGCTCACAGCCATCTGTAATTCCAGTACCAAGGAATCTGATGCCCTTCTCTGGTTTCTGTGGGCACTGGGCACACATGTGGTCCGTAGACAGACATTGAGGCAAAATATGTATATATACAAGATAAAATAAATATATCTTTACAAAATTAATACTTTTCCTGTTGGGAAAATGCTTTACCGTTTGAGGAATACAGTTTCAGGGAAGATAATCATGCTATGAGCAAAGACATACTCTGCCAGTAGGAATAAACATTGCTGATCTTATCCATTCCGCACACGGAGGAATCCTAATGCACACATTCCTGTGTTTGGCCATTTTTATTTATCTGTAAAGTATTTTCATCATTTGTGACATATAGGATTAAAACAAAAATACCTATCCCTTGGCGCTTACTATCATGCTTTCACAAAGCAAGCATTACCAAAAGCTGCAGTGCTTACTCTGTCTCTCTGTCTCTCTCTCTCTCTCTTTGGTATCACATACATTTCTGATCACCGCAACGTGAGTTCTTGCTATTCTATGTTTTGAGTGATTTTTGAATGTCTGAGCACAGACAGTTTAATACTAACAATTATGGGGTTAGACACTCAGAAGTAATTACCAAATCTGTTGAGGAAATTTGCTTCCTGTGTTGATCATATTATCATGACAAGGACACGATTAACAGTGAATGAGGTTATTTTGGGAGATCATTTCTTTGGCAGCTACAGCTTTGGTCTTCAAGAGAAAGTATTTGTGATTATGATAAATAGTTTGAAGTCAATAAAATATTAAGTACATGAGGTTTAGTTTTTAAAGGTATTATAACCACAGCAAATCATCCCCAGGTATTTTGTTTTTATTTTGAAGAGACTCAAATGTCATAATTAGTTGGCCATGATGTCCTGGGCTGTACCTGGTGAATCTCAACACCACAGAACTATTTCTGGAACTTATACCCCAGTGTCATAAAATGTATAGTTCTCCACTAACTGTCAAGGGAATTTACAGAGAGATGATGGTCGAGGCGACAGAGAGGGTGGGCAATAACATGTTCTTTTATTTTCTTTCTTGTCCAAGTGCATTCAACTTTCAAGATGTTAGATTTCATGAAGCCATTGATTTGGCAGTATTTTACTGGGGGGAAAACTGCTTTAAAATCTTATTTAACTAGAACCCACAATTTTGGAATTTATTTTCTCTGTATATGAATTTTGCATACTTTAAAAACCAGACTGCTTAACCCGAAGAATAGACTGGGGTTGTGTTTTCTCTGTTCATGATTATTCACACGCCTAAGTCAACTGGAAAGCTGCCATTGCCATCCCATCCCATACTCGTGTTCCGGGCCGTGCTCCTGAAAACAGAAAGTCCAAACACGCTAAGCCAGAGTAACACTCTCTTTGGGTTTTCAGAAATTCAAGACCCCGTGGAGGAAGTTTTTCACATCCATGCCCGTCTATGCGATCATCGTTGCAAACTTCTGTCGGAGTTGGACCTTTTACTTACTGCTCATCAGTCAACCAGCTTATTTTGAGGAAGTATTTGGATTTGAAATCAGCAAAGTATGTACAAGTTCACTTTATTAAAATACTGGATAATGTCTGTATTTAAGTGAATATTCCTTCCTTTAGCCAAAATTTTGTCTTCAAACCTTCATGATTTACTTTTTGGAAAGGTGTGTGTGTGTGTGTGTGTGTGTGTGTGTGTGTGTGTCCCTTATTCTATTCTGTTCCCTGCTAGAAGTATCTCTTTATTTCTGGGGTTCCAGGCAAAAAGAGTCTCATCTCTGCCTTCCTGTAGCTTACATCTCAGTGGATCTGAGCAACGATGCAGCCCTTTTCCTACACACAAAGAGTACGACTTTCAGTCCAAGGCAAGCAAGCTGCTACAAAAAAAGACAACCCATTCTAATGGAACTGTGCTTCAGTTATTATCAGCCTCTTCTCCGTCTGTGTTCTCAGACCTGTCCAGTTGAGAGAAACAACAAACAAAAAAAGCTGAAAACGCCCTTCTACTTTGTTCATTTTTTGAGTCTCTTATAGGATACGTTGTTTTATTCAGAAACGCAGCACTGCTTCTCTCTCCCGAATATTTGCAGTTTTGAACGTATAGACAAAAACATCTTGTATTGCCAATTCACACACACAGGGTGTGTAAGACAATTTGTTTATAGGTACAGAAATAAAAGTATTTTCAGATTTTCTAGAATGGAGAACTCAACTTTAAACACTCCTTTTGTGTAGGGATAGAAAATTCTAGCAGTTTCTTTCCTACTCACGAATAACCTCATCCGGTAGACCAGACGGATAGCTATCATCATTCCTGTTTGACTTGGCAAAACAGAACTGAGGGTAATTATTGAAATCACCTAAAGGTATACTAACTAGTTACACACTTACGGCATAGATACTCATTTCTGTTCCAATCCCCTGTACAGTGTCATACATCAGGGGACCTGTGTACATCTAGCCACACACTTAACAGGTCCGTGTTGAGAGCCAGCTCTGCGCTCTGTGTGCAGCTCTCTGCTGAGTTCTGAATCCATTTATCTTTGCTGGCAGTGATTGTGCCATTTCCCCTTGTGTTGTTACATAAGTCCAGCTGGGCTCGGGCTCTTCATATTGTGTCTCTACTTGAAAGGCTATCTGAGAGCTGGGCTAGAGAAAGCCTAAGCGGGGCAGTGGCTGGCCTAAGAGCTCTTCTGAAGCGGCCGTTTCTAAGGAAACAGCTCCCTTCTCCCTGAGAAGAATGGCTGCAGTAGACCAGCCTCTTCTCCCTGGAGCTGATCAAACATCGCAGGGCAGACTTGGGACCTCGGAGAGTGTCACACCTCTCGACAAAGACTGCTGGAGGTGTGAGTCCATTTTCACAATCTAGGGCAAATGTGACACGCGGAGACTATTAATAAAGCCAGGACTCGTGGGGGTGGGAAGAGATGCCAAGTGGTGGTAATGACATGATCTTCCTGTCTCCAATTAGTTGAAAACACCTGAATCAAATCAGGGGCAGTGTGCACAAACTAAATGAACTTACATATGGATAGATTAATTAGCTTGCTATTTTTAAGCTAAAGCTCCAGTTACATTCTCCATGCTGTGTGGACTGAAGATTTTTTATTAAGCTGATAAAAATAATGTTTTAAATTCTCCAACTTACTTGAAAAAAAAATTTGAGATCACGGTGGACGTAGGAAATCTAGGCGTGTCCAGGTGATTGTGGCTTTGAACCCAAGCTTTACAATGAAGGGTTGGCCTACAACTTGGGGTTGAATTTTGAATAATTAGCATCCTTAATTTTCTTATCTATAAGTGAGAGCTTTAATACTATCTTTCAGAAGTGAAACAAATTTTATAAAAAAAATGATATGCTTGCATAGAAGGTGGCTTTCTCAAACCTCACTAACGTGGATATCCTATAGATAGAACCACACAGGGAACACCTTAATCTTCATTCCAAAATGCTTCCTTAGTTAAGACAAAATGAGTTCACATGCATTCTCTCTCTCTCTCACACACACACACACACGCACGCACACACACACTGTATACAGTATTGCGTAGTTATATATAGGACCTAATGTATGCATACACTGTACATAAATGTAAGTGAACTATATTAGTTAACTCTTTGTGTATGGGTTGTGTGTGCATTTGTGTGTGTGTATGTGTGTATGTGTATTTCCCTATAGTATGTACGTAAGTATTTTCAGCTCCTCTGAGAATGGCAAATCAGAGTGCAGTCAATTCCAGGATTTTAATGAGCACCTTTAAACCTCAAAATACAGGGGCCAATCAAATGAGAGGACACATTTGTTTCCTTTGAGTTCCTCAGTTGGAGAGGCTGTGCTTCATGCTCTGCCTCTTGACAGCTTCAGAAAATGGTTCAGATACAGTTGGCACAGCAGAGGGAGGAGGGGTGCTCGAGGACTTACTAAGAGGAATAGGTTGCAGGTGATAACTACCCATCTCACTCTCCTAAAACCTTCGGACAATGAGCAAACTAAAGGCAATCCAAGAGGGGACAGATGAGTAGGACTGTGTGAAGAACGAATTATCCATAATAATAAGTCACCAGAGCTGAGAAGACCTAAACATGGATAAGTTTCAGGAAATTTTGCCTAGGAAACTAGAGGATCCCATCTTTCCAGGCACTAAAGCGGAGACCAAAACTTACCTCTCAGTGGTCTCTAGCTGTTAGTTCCTTGCATCTGACTTCCTGACTCTGCTGAAAGAGTAATAAACGAAGGTTTTTATCTTTGCTCTTTGCTAATGCAAAGTGGAAAAAATGTTTATCCGAATGAACAGTAGGTAGCTGAGGCTGCCCAGTGTAAGGCTCTTTTCAGATGCAACACCTTTCAGACGGACAGGAAACGTCACTCCCAAGCAGGTAGCCTGCCTCTGTGAAATGAAAGCATGTCCTGGGTTTCTGGGAAAACCTTTACTTGTGTGCTCTGGGATGTGTTCTCTGCAGCAGCCTCCTGATTTACGTTGTATTCTGACATATATCTCTGGTGACTGAGAATAAAGGACCACTGTAGTTTTCCAACATGCTATTCTCAAAATCAATGATATTTTCCACTCACTCAATTACCTTTTCTTTTTATTTATGCCACGTTTGCTGAACACCCACTTGCAAGTAAACAAGCAGTTTATACGGCAATGCCCTATTTAAATTTCCTTTTTCCCCCACAGGTGGCCCATTTGCTGAGCATATGCACAGTAAGAGCTCGGTCTTTAGAACTCTGTGTAGTACTGTTTAAAAATTGCCCCTTCAATATCAGCTTCCTCATTCAATAATAAAAGTATAAAAATTCCCACCCTAAGCAGAAGAGGGAACCCAACAGTTTAAACCTTTAATCTGTCTTGGAGCACTTTTCTCTCTCAACTAGGCATGGCCATAATCCTCATTGGTGAGTGTGAACAACATTCTGTGTGCCACTTCCAAACAAAGAACAGAATCTGCCTTTCATATCTCCAAAAATCTACATGGAAGATGCGCTTAGTCACAAACAATACATCCCAGTCTTTCCCTTGCCCAACGTTGTCCAAAGTGAGGACATCTATTCATGTGGTAATAGCCCATTTAAGTGTGTTATTTTATTTTCATATACCCTCTCCCTCAGTGCCTAGGGAACTGCCTCTTGTTCATAGCTAATTGTTAAAAATGTGTATTGAGCCAGGTGGTGGTAGCGCATGACTTTAATCCCAGCACTCGGGAGGCAGAGGCACAGAGTTTGAGGCCAGCCTGGTGTACAAGAGCTAGTTCCAGGTCAGCTAGGACTGTTACACAAGGAAACCCTGTCTCAAAATACAAACAAAAAATGTGTATTGAAGGAGTGCTAGATTTGGGGTTGTCCTAATTTTTATGAAATTAGTTTAAAGGCTGCATACCACAGTATAACCATGTGACTGCATTTGACTGTAAATGAGTAAAATTGAAGAACTCACGTGGGGTTTTCATAACTGAAATCTGTGCTATGAAATTTAGAAGAGGTGTCTTAAAATGGAAATGTGTAGTCTTTCACCTTTTGAATAAATTGGAAAATTTGCATCCAGCCTTGCTGAGGGCCGAAGGCATCTCTTTCCTCCCGAGATCCCTTCCTCTGCATTCTCCCTCTCATCAATGATGCATTTGTGCGAACACACTTACGGACGTGAAAGGATAAACAAGCATGACTCACTGACGAGATTCAGAAGGGTTGATTCATGAATTCAGAACACACTGAATCATAACGTAGCAATAGAAGTTTTCCTTCTTTAAGAATACAGAGAAAGGATCAAAGTAAATTTACTTAGCTTTCCCGATTTACTCTGTGGACATTACTGCTTACTCTAGGAGAACAAGTTTGCATTTGGAAACAGTGTTTTGCCTTCCTTGACTCAAGGAGCAGATGAAGACAGATTCAGAATGCCAGGGTCACTCAATTGCCTGCTCTCTTTATTCTCTCCTGCTTTTCTCCCCCTCTGGCTTTGGTCAGGTTGGCATGCTGTCTGCGGTCCCACACCTGGTCATGACAATCATTGTGCCTATCGGGGGGCAAATTGCAGATTTTCTGAGAAGCAAACAAATTCTTTCAACAACTACCGTGAGAAAGATCATGAATTGTGGTGGTAAGTATCTGTGGAGTGGCAAGCATATGTTCCTGTCTGAGGGCTCTGTGATCTACATGTATGAATCTGATTTTCTACATGTGGTTAGATATGCGCCTTCATAGCTTATTTCAAATCATTTTCCCATGGCCAAGGTTTTTAACACTCATTTTCAGACCCCCACTTAACAAAGTCATTTGTATACATTGTCACTAAACTTCTAGTCACTAAAACTTCAGGTTAATTTGGACTTAAGAAGCATATAATGAATGCCCCAATAATCTCTGACATAAATTATTAGCCTTATGTCTTTCTGAGGTATATTGTCCATATTGGTATGAATGAGAAATATTAGTAGTCTGATGGAGGAGGGTCATCTGTCTATCTGTTGCTTTCATTAGTTAATTAATAAAGAAACTGCTTGGCCTGATAGGGCAGAATTTAGATAGGCAGAGTAGACTGAACAGAATGCTGGGAAGAAGGGAAGTAAGGCAGATGCTATAGCTCTCCTCTCCAAGATGGATGTAGGTTAAGATCCTTCCTGGTAAGCTACCACCTCATGGTGCTACACATATTAATAGAAATGGGTTAATCAAGATGTGAGAATTGGCCAGGAGGAGGCTAGAGCTAATGGGCCAAGCAGTGTTTAAAAGAATACAGTTTCCGTGTAATTATTTTGGGTAAAGCTAGCCATGCGGACCCAGGCGGGACAAAAAGCAGGCCTGCCCGCAGCTTCTACCACAGTAGTCTTCGTTTCTTTGTAAAAATTATACTATAATTTTATAAGATAAAAAATTTTTACCATAATTTTATACTATACTTTTAAAAGTTATAGCAATTTTGTTGGGTTCAGTCTGACTTAGGCTTGTAAGGTTTTATGCATACTGTCACAATGGCTGTGAGTTCATATATGAAGCTGCCCTGCTGTGTCAAGAAGACACTGTTTCCTTATAGTCATCTGCTGACTCTATTTCTTACACTCTTTCTGCACCCTCTTCCACAATGATCTCTGAGCATTTGAAGATGTGGGTGTGTGTGTGTGCGTGCACGCATTTGCGTGCACATGCACGCAATATCTATGTTCTGTTTGGTGCTGGGACTTCTGTAGTCTCTTATTCTCATTGATCATTATCTACTGCAATCAGAAACTTCTCTGATGTGGGTTCAGAGATAAGTTCATAAATGTATTTAAAGGTAAGTCATTAATAGCATATTGATTTAGCAGAGGAATATTAGAAACTTCTCACATAAGACTTGTCTAACCTCAGGTTCTTGGCCTGGTGCCTGCCATATAGGGGTTGATCTTGTGGAGTAGGATTTAAGTCACATCAATGGTTGTTAAGTCAATTATATTTATGCCACTGTTGCTTTGGATTTCCTCTAGGTAAGGAGCCATCAGCAATTGGTAGTTGATGAGAGGAGAACTGGTTCTTTAAGAGTGTAGCCCCTAATAAGTTGACCATAATCCAGTAGAAGGCCACATATTTGACTTGATTGCTTTTTTGTTTCTTTTTTTTTTTAAACAAGGACACACAATTGGATGAGTAAGAAAGCGAGGGTGGTTCTAGGAGGATTTGGGGGAGGAGATGAATATGATCAAAATACCTTGTAAACAATTCTCAAAAAACTAATACTCTTCTGTGCTTGCCTCCAAAGGTTTTGGCATGGAAGCCACCCTGCTTCTGGTTGTTGGCTACTCTCATACTAGAGGAGTGGCCATCTCCTTCTTGGTGCTTGCAGTAGGATTTAGTGGATTTGCCATCTCTGGTAAGAGTTATCTTCTTTGTCTCTCTACATTACATCTTGATTTTGCTAGCAATTATCTATGTGTTGGAAAATGGTTATAACATTCAGAAACATCACTTAGAATTATTATTGCTCACCTTTCCTCCGACTGTTTCTTTCTTTGTACTTGATCAGTTTGTTAAGAGAATGTTTGCAGTGAGCCATAATAAGTATTGGAAAAGGCACATCCTTTCTTTCTCTTGATGCCCTTGAATGGAGTTATGAAAAGCACATGGTGTGCACCCAGTATCTTTTGGGAAGATGTGTTCTGATGTTCTCTACCTTGCTTCTTCAAGCTGATGCCATCTTGAGCCAACGTTTTTGTGTTTGTTTCAGGATTCAATGTGAACCACTTGGACATTGCTCCAAGATATGCCAGTATCTTGATGGGCATTTCCAATGGTGTTGGCACACTGTCGGGGATGGTCTGCCCTATCATTGTCGGTGCCATGACCAAGAACAAGGTAGGAGAGCAATTCTATTGTAGAACATTCTCTCTTATGGTTGGGAAAGGGCTTTGTTGTTCTTGGGGTGTTCCATTCACTTCGAAGTAAGAAGCACAAATGAAGTACAGAGGGACAGATCTCTACAGTAACTTCTGGAAGGTCCAGCCTCTCCAGTCATCAAGCAAGGTGTTTCTCAAGCCCTTCCAATAGCCCACAGATTATTTCCTTATTTAAAAATGTTAAGGAGACAAGCTACATATAAGAGAAATGCCTATTATTGATATCCCCTTTGTGGCAAGAATGTCATTCCCAAGCCCCTCAACCCTTTGCCCCTAGATTATAGAATAGACAAACAGCCTTTCCCAACTTTATTCACCAATCTCAATTCAGAATTGAGTTTATGAGGAATATTATTATTTAGAAGTTCTTAAATATACATATAGAGCTTCAAATTTGAGGTTTTATAGATGGACATGAAGGAAATGAATGAGAAAGACAAAGCAATGGAGAGCTGGCTGGGATGGCACATGCCTGTCACTCTAGTGTTGAGGAGAAAGAACCAAGTTTGAGGTCAGCCTCAGTTACATAGTGGATGCCCCCAACCAGAAAAATATAAAAGCTAAAGACTAATTAATAAATGTAAAAGAGAATATTCTTGAACTCAGCAGACAAGAGTTTATTTCCAACTTTTATCCTAAAAATTTAAATAACAAGGCAAATAGGTTTATTGGAAGTGTTTCCATGACATTGGTAACCCCAAAGATAGCATCATGAGAAACATGGCGGCAGAGCATGCTCCCAGGGCGGCTTTCCAATCATGCAGTTCGCTCTCACAGCCCGGCTTTTCTCACCACAGTCCCGCGAAGAGTGGCAGTACGTCTTCCTCATCGCTGCGCTCGTCCACTATGGCGGAGTCATATTTTATGCAATATTTGCCTCTGGAGAGAAGCAACCTTGGGCAGACCCTGAGGAAACAAGTGAAGAAAAATGTGGCTTCATTCATGAAGATGAACTGGATGAAGAAACAGGGGACATCACGCAGAATTATATAAATTACGGTACCACCAAGTCTTACGGCGCCACCACACAGGAGAACGGAGGCTGGCCTAATGGCTGGGAGAAAAAGGAAGAATTTGTTCAGGAAGGAGCACAAGATGCATACACCTTTAAGGACCAAGATGATTATTCATAACGAAGCTAGTCACTGGATACATTTTTAGTGTTGTGATTAAACTAATTGTGATTGCACAGAATAATTTAAAAAATGTGGTGTAAACATGTAAACACATCAGCCTAGCAAGTCTCGCTATTTAAAAAGTATGAATTCAAAACAGACCACGAGATCCCATCAAGCGCAATCTGTGGAAGTTGTCGCGTTATGTCATTTCCATCCAGGTCATTCATCCTTTCGTTTGTGATTTAAAGGTTTACTGTAGAAATAAGTAGGTATTCGTTGGCCCCACCGCCTTGTGAGTGGGCACAACTGACACAGTTGGCACATGTCATCCGACAGATATTAGGAAGCCAAAGCTACTTGATCATGCAAACTGCACTGATTTATTGATTACACTGGACTGCAAAATATCCCAGGGAAATCCTGTCTATGGGCATGGTAAAATTGGAAAGCTGGCTAGATCAGGTATGAACTATGATCATTATGTGTTTATCATGGATTGGCTTTACCTTTTCATTGAAGAAATACATTGTATACTACCAGCTAGCAGCTCATACCGAATTATTGTTAAGAGTACACAGTGTGTGATATTTTGTGATCTTCAAAGCGCTTATCTTACAGTGTTTTGTGAAATGCTTGGGCACAAACACTTATTTTTTATGAAAGAGAGCTTGTAACGGGGGGAGGATGCTCCATGCCCTCCCACTCACTACCTGACAGTATCAAGCCCTTCACATCTCAGTAACATTAAACTTTCATGTAACATATCACATAACTTTTTTTGCAAAAAAAAAATAAGAAATAGACTTCAATGTATTTTTTATCACAACTTTGTACTGGTTGTAACTTGCATTAGGAAAAAATGATTGATATATATAAAATCATAAAGAATCTAATAAAATTTGCTATGAAGCTATAGCCCTTAAAATGCAATATTAATAAGAAAATATATAAAAATGATTTAGATAATCTTCCTTGAAACTAGAGACTATATGAAACTCATATCATAAAGCTATATAATATATGAAAAGATAAACAATAGAGATTCTATATATAGACAATTTTATTACCTAATGTCCCATTTATGAGATATTTGTCTTGAGTATATAGAACAAAATATATTGAAATTATATCTATATCCCTGTATATCTTATACATATCCACTCACACAAACATAACAAATACTTTTCACACAGAACCAAAAACAGCATACACCTAATGTTGGGTTAGGGGATTGCAATTTCTACTTTCATAGAGTCATAGAATTTTAGATGGGAAAAAAAGGCATTTTGCTCATCATTTCTTAATATATTTCAACAAGAACTGCAACATTTGTGTACCAAGCAATAAGTGCAAAGCATAAAACCTCCCGTTTGTAAATTATCCCCGTGTTGCTTGTGGTAGCAATGATTTCTTCCTTTTAAAAAAGTCAACATCAGAATCCTTTACGATATTCCGCAGTGATAAGAATGCATATTCCAATCTAACGCAAAATGTCACCTGGTGTGCTTCTGTGTCTCTTCTGGGTATTTGATATGTTCCATGTCCTGTGCTCTTGACTGGAGGTCCTGCTACTGCAAATATAAAACATGAAGTGTGTTTCTAAATGCAAACCACTCCTGACCTTAGGAGTCTAAAACTCCCCCTGCTTTGTGTCTCAAAGTACGACCATGTGACCATAACCTTTGCTGTGCTGAATAAAAAGATGTGAACTGTCATTTCATTGCTACAAAACAAGTGTTAATAAAATGTTCTGTTTACCCCTTTGTAAAATGAATACGTTAATTTCTGGTTGATTCGGGGTTCAGCTTTAGGGCATATGTAGTTTATGGATGTTTCAATGAATTCAAATATAGGCTCCACAGCAAAAACCCTTGCTGGTTAGTGCCTTGGGATTAATTCAATATTCTTCCTTAGATGGGGAGACCTGATTCTATAGGGAGCGTGAAAGCTGAGAAATAAGTCTCTGAGTCAAACTCTTTCCAAGACTGTGTCATCACAACTGGTGCAAAATTTAAAGCAAAGTTTGGAAATAAACTTCCGCTTGTCAGTTCCACACTGCCACCTCCTTTCCGTTGCTCACATGGCCTGGGCTAGACACTGCCAGTCATTTATAGCGCCTGTCAGTGGTGTTATGTAAACCCACAGTCGCTCTCTAAAGCAGGTCTCCACTTATTCTAGGTCTGGAAATTTTTTAAAAAGAAGCTTGGAAAGCCAAAACAAAATAAAGCAATGACATTAAATGTGTCAGTCAAACTATTTAGCGGTAAGCGTGACAGTGTTGAAATGTGTCTATCGCTGGATATGCCGTCAGAGCTCAAAGTCTGTATTTCACAGCTGTGAAAACAGAAACCTGTGCTATGAGTTGTAACCTATAGGGAACCTGGTGGAGGTGGTTTGGAGCTGGGGGAACTGGAGAGGTGGTTCAGTGCCTAAGAGTACATCCTGCTCTTCCAGAAGGCCAGAGTGTTGTTCCAGGCACCCATGTTGGGTGTCTCACAATTGCCTGGAACTTGAACTCCATCTAGGGCTGTGGCACCCTCTTCTGGAATCTATAGGCACTGCACTCACATGTCAGAATGGCTGTGCATGTGCACATGTGCACTCCGCTTGCACGCGTGTGCGCGTGCGCGCACACACACACACAGACACCAAATTTCAATTAAATTTTTAAGATGTGTGTAAAATGAACATACAATCAGACTTCTGATGCTGTACTTCTTAAAGGACTTGTGTGACTTGTTAGCTGACATTCCTTGTTTAATAGATGAGGACACTGGAGTCTGCAAGGAAGATCAGACTTGGTCAGGGCAGTGTAGATATTGCTAGAAGTTTTATGTTTTGAAATAAATTATAATTGAATATGCTATGTTTTCAGCCAATTTTTTTATTGCACAGATTAGTTAAATCTGTATTTGTCAGTTCAAATGCTAACTACAAATCCTCCAACTCTGATTGAGTATGTGGGTGTTAGAAGCAAAGGAATATAGATTTCCCTCCTGGCATCATCTGCATGAGGAAACAGAGACCAAACCTAGCCTGGTGCTTATAGAGGTTCACACACCATCTCTTTATACCTCAAAGACATCAATGTCTCAACTTTTGCACCTACATTAGCCCAATTTCATGGCACAAGCTTTATATTATCTTTAATAATATGGTTCCAATGCAGTCTCCAAGCAAGTGTCACCTGTGATGCCTTTATTTCTCTCCTCTTGGTCAGGAAGCCCGTGACTTCCTTTCTCCTCGTCACCCATTCTTTTCTGTATTTTACTCATCATCATGATACCCAGCCAGGATTCTACATATCTGATCTTCTTTCCCACACGTTCCCTCATTTCATTCTCATGTGTACTTTCTGAAATTGGAAAGGATCTTTCTGTTGTTAGTGTTTCTACTTTTTAAGCAAGAAATTGTGCTTATAATAGTACTTAACTTCCTGAAGATTCTATACAAGAGTTTAGACTGTGGCCACTGCAAGAAATTCTTTTTAACTTCAAAGTCCCTTTATTACCATTTTTACTATAACATAACAGCTATTGTTCAAAGCAATTTCTCGAGCCTGTAAATCCCAGCTCTTGGGAACACGAGACAAGAGGATTGCTTCAAACCTGAAGCCCTAGCTCTCTGAACTGAGTCCACAAACAGTCTCCATCCCACACAAGGAGCCTCCCAACAGGAGAAAACTGACTTTCTCAAGTTGTTCTCTCATCTCCCCATATGTGCCAATATATAAACCAAAAAATATGACTGATGCCAGATAATAAATATTCATTAAACCATCTTCACAAGGTACAGGAAGAAGACAAAGATGTGACCTGTAGATATTCAGAGTGGGATCTGCAGAGAAGGAAGACAGGGCATAAATCAAATTTCATGTTTGGCATTTTTATTAGAACTCCAGGAAATATGACAGTGTCAGTATTTGGTCTGGAAACTCACATAAAAAAATCTGATTATATTTTTCTTGACTAATATTTTTATAAGCAAGAATTATCAAGCTAGATATATCATTTCCCCTCGATAACAAGCCCTATTTCTCTCCCGTCTTTTTCCTTATTTATTTTTCATTCTGAGTTGCCAATGGAGACACAGTGTTCTACAAGGACATTTGACACTTTTATAAATCTACAAAATTTAGTGCAATCAGTTCTGGGAAATGCTTCTGGTTTATAAAGTCAAGGCAAAAGAGAGATTGAACACATTTCCAAAATTCTTCGACACAAAGGCGACCAAGGCAGGCATGAGACAATGTCACTGGTGAGTGAGGTCAGTCTTTGTGGGAGACCTCATCATGTCTGAAGTTTGCTTGCAAATACTTGAAAATAAAGGGGCAATTATGATGATATGATGGAGCCCATGTCTACCCCCAGACCACAGCGTACAAATTAGTACAAATTTAATCCCGGCACCCAAGAGGCAAAGGCAGGCAGATATTTGAGTTCCAGGCCAATAGGGGTTACATACTGAGACTTGTCTCGTAATAAAAAAAACAAATCAAATTAGCCCATCATCATCAATGTGAAAACACAATGGTTCTCAGTTCTAATTGCAATGGATTAACAGAGGAAATGAAAACAGTTTGGGTTTTAGCCTGAATATGCTTCTTGTTTTACAGACACCGGTATAAGCCAGGCCTGGTTGCTTGGTCTTGAGTGCCCCAGCTTGTACTATAAAAGAGTTGGACGGTCTTAATAGCATCTAAAAATGTTGCAAGATGGTTTATAAATTATTCTCATCTCCAATGTTTTCTGATTTTATTTTGGCCTTTCTGGTAAATTACTGAGGTCCTCAAGTTGACTGTTAAAATTATTTTCAGAATTCCATGAGAGATGGACGCCTGTTTTCTGTCTGCATTCCTTTACCTTAAAAACATTAGCACCTATTTTTCATCTCTGGAAAGGTAGTTAACACAGAGAAGGCCCTTTTTTGTCCTGCCCGGCTTCTTCCTGGGGTTCTTATTTCTAATTCTGCCGAGGAAATCATTTATTGTTCCACAGTGTTGCATTGTAGAACTC